CTGGGTGGCTCAGTCGGTTAAGCTGCTGCTTTCGGCTTAGGTCATGATCCCAGGGTCCTGGGATCGAGTTCCGCATCGGGCTCCTTGCTCTGCCGGGAGCCTGCTTCTCTCTCTGCCTCTGCCTGCCTCTCTGCCTGCTTGTGCGCTCGCTCTCGCTCTCTCTCTCTCTCTGACAAATAAAATCTTAAAAAAGAAAGATTTAAAATCAATTCTGTACAAGTTGACTTATTTCAGGCACTGAAAACTGTGCATGAAACCTTCTTGACTTGCTCTAATCCTCCTTTCCCCACATAAACAACCATAATGTCAGTTTTTGAGTCCTTGAAAGAGCAGGAAAATGCAATAAAGTCAATGTAGAAAGGATACCAGTGGGGGGCTTTGTCTGCTCTCTTCTTTGGGCAACAGTCCCATTTCATTTTGGAGAACGGCCCCTCCCACAGGCCAACCCTAATCCCATACCTAACCGTCACTGCCCATTGTGGCCCCTGCCCCCACAGGCTGGCTCCTGCCCCAGCAGGACCAAAGCACCATCCTAGGCCCCTCACATAGCTTTTGGTGCAGCAAATGGGTTCACTGTCCAGGCCAAGCCATCAGAGACTTTCTTGAAATTCTCCCTACTATAATCCTTTCAGGAATAAAACAAAGAATTGAAGCCCAGAGCTCCTTGGATCTAGCCGCAGAGAGAAGGCAGCCCAGGAGCATGGACCCATCATGTGCAGAGACGTACAGAGAAGCTTAAGGAAGAGTGGGCGGGGGGGGAGACTTCTAGCAAAGATCTAGACCTCAAGTCCTGTTCTCCCAATGGCGACCTGCACTTCTGCCCTTCCTACAGTGTGTATCTAAAAGCGAATACACTTTCCTTTAAGCTTAAGTGAGTTTGAGCTGGTGTCTATTATTTGTACTCCAGGAGTCCTGATCCATGCAGACGGTTACCTCTTGGGTTTGGGAATTCTCAGGAGTGAACTTACTGAGTTGTCTTTCTAGTCCCTGTTCCTGGGGCACTGCCTTTGCGGCCAAAGGGGTGACTTATGAGGTCTTGTTTCTGCTCTTGGAAACTGTTTCTCTCCATGAGCCTTACTGGCCCAAGGGTAGCATGCAGGGCAATCAAGGTTTCACCTCTGGAAATAAGGTTTGGATTTGAGAGGTTGGGGGTTTCTTTGAGCAGTGGTGCTCCGGAGGGACAGGAAGGCATTCTCAGAGACACTGTGGTTCGGCTCCTTCAGAGCTTTAGTCACTCAGCCCCATCCACAGTGAGCTCCATGAGCTGCCCCAGTCCAAGGCATTCTACCCTGTCTCTCTTCCTCCCCCTACCCCCTGCGCTTCAGCTGGCTACAACTGGTTTTGTCTTCAAACCAAGAGAACATGAAATTTTACACACAAAAAATTGTTTCTGTAAATTATTGGTTAGGATATTTGTCACCATGGGAAACATAAGACTTCAATAAAAATCAGCTTGAGCAATAACGAACTTTTTACCTTGAACAACAAGCCTCGAGGCAGTAGCCCCAGGCGTGGTGTATCAGCAGCTCAAGGATGTCATCAAGGCCTCCATGTTTTATTCCCGTGTTTTGCCAGGAAGAGGACTGACTTCTCTCACAGGTCAGTCCACCTAGAATCCCCAGATGGCTGCCACCCACAGTTAGCGCTTCCTGGGTCATCTTTCCCATCCAGCAGGGGAAGGAGACACTCCGAACATCCTGGCGGTGGTGTGAGAGCAGCTCTAAGGCATTTTTAAGAGTCAGAACTAATTCAGCTTGGTGACTGCCTGGCTGCAGGGCGTGGGGAGGGAGGAGCTGGGGCAGTGCCCAGCTTTCATGCTGAGGCATCTTGGTGGATGGAGACACCCTTCTCTGAGGGGCCTCCAGAGCCAGTTTGGCAGGACAGTGACACCGCTTGTGGGTTCCCTGCCTCTTTGGACTTCGTTCAGGCCTGTCCAGGAGTCAACTGGGGCCTGTCCCCAAAGCCTTGACATCAGAGAGCAAACCACTCACCTCTGACAAGGCGTAATTTCCTGAAGGGGGAGCTAAGTAAATTTCTGTTCTCCTTGAACTGCTTCTGCTACATGGGCAACTATTTACATAAAGCAGGCAGCCCCTGAGGAGGGCATGACGTCCCCGCTGTGACTGTCCTGTCCCAGCTGTGCGAAATTAGAGGAGCTCACACTACGGACGTGGTGGGTGTTTACATGGCATCCTTCTCCACCTGCTTTTCACCTTCCTGCTTCAGTTTGGTTCAGGCGCAGGCTTGTGGCCGGTCCTAAAGGATAATTAGTCTCATCACGGCTCTCCACCCTGGCTGCGCGCTGAAATCTCCTGAGTTCTGAACAAATACCAACGCTTACCACATAGGCGTGTGTGTATGTGTGTGTGTGTGTCATTTCCACTCCTCAGCTACTGTGAATAATGCTGCTGGTATGAACGTGGGTGTCCAGATGCCCCCAGGGATATTTTTAAAAAGCTTTCCATGGGATGTGGGATACGCAGTCAGGGTTGAGGACCATTAGCGCGTGGCAGTCCCTGGCCACCGCAAGGGGTCTGGGTGAGAGGCATGCCACCTTCCTCGGCCTGATGCAGCTGCTCCCTGCTAATTACAGCACTCAGCAGAACCCACAATCAGCAGCTCCCACATCTGTCAGCATCCACCTGTCAGCATCCACGCTCAGACGTCCAGAAGCGCGAGGCAGGTTTCGTTTACCTCCACATCTCAGTGACAGAGCTCCCACCCGGGTACCCCACAGGAAACGATTGAGTTGCTGTTGAAGGAAGAAGACTTCCAATCCCTCGTTCAACCGGATCCCACTAGCAAAGTCAACTGCCCCCCTTCTGCTACTAGAAATGATGTGCCATTAAACCCTCGGCCACGCATCTGGCCCCACTCAGGCCTGGTCCTAAGTCAGGGTCTCAGACCTTTATAAAATAAAGATGCCCATGTGGAAGGAGCCCCAGGGGGTGGTGGGGGCCCGAGGTGGGGGTGTGGGTTGCTGTGGCCTCGCTCCAGTTTCTTCTGGGACAGATGTTCTGAAAGGAGCCCCTGTGCCCATTCCTTGCAGCTGAATGAGATGCTTAAGTAATCTTCCCCACAAATGCCGGCTTCTCTAGCCCCGTAACCCACTTGAAAAAGGAAAACTGGACATGATGCTGTGTTTTTCCTTGAGGTGGGTTTTCTGTGCTTTCTACTCACGTCTGCAGCCCCACGTCCGTGTGTTTACACCACTTTTCATGTCGGCCTGAATTCTCACGATCTTTTTTTTTTTTTTATTACAGCCTATGGAAATTAAAAAAGTAGCCCCAGATAAAAGAAATGCCAGAGCACCCGCGAGACTTCTGCCTGGTTCCATTTTTAAGTCTGCGGACGTATTTGGAGAGAACCTCTTTCTAATGCGAAGCAGGAGTGTGGCAAATCGAGAATGCTCTCCTCTCTGTTCCCCTGTGGGCTCAGAAGCCAGATGCGCCACGTGACGGGACCGGACAGCAAGGACACGGCTTGGGAGGGAGACGAGGAGAAGGAGGAGGCCCCTAGCTGCTTCTGCAGTGTCTTCCAGATCTGGTCAGGCCACGGTGAGGATGGGGCAGGAGAAGCAGTGAATTTGGGGGCGGAGCTGGTCTTCATTGGAAATGTGGATTTTTCTTTTCTAAAGGTTTTATTTATTTATTTGACAGAGGGAAAGAGAGAGAGAGTGCAAGCAAGCAGAGCAGGAGGCAGAGGGAGAAGCAAATTCCCTGATGAGCAGGGAGCCCGACGCGGGGCTCGATCCCACGACCCTGGGATCATGACCTGAGTGGAAGGCAGCCATTTTAACCGACGGAGCCACTCAGGTGCCCCAGATGTTTTGTTTATCATAGAAACTTTTCGTGTTCATTTTGATTTTTTTAAGTACTACATTAAAATTGCTTACCTCGGTCACGGAGCTGTCTGGCACACCTTCCATTTCATGTCTCACTTCCCTCACCTTCCCAGCCCTGACTCTACTGGCTCCCGGCTCCTCCTTGCTTTTCCTTGAGTTAGGCTGTGCGTTTTCATGAGGGAAGCAAGATGTCTCTCTCTGAGTCTTGTGCAGCCATAAGCTTGTTTCCTCTGGGCTTACTTCCTCCCAGGCCTCTGCCTCTGCTCATTTCGATGAGCTCTTGCGCTGCCTGTGTTCACCTCTGCTGCTTCTGCCCTTCCAGGCCTCCCCACCACCCTTCTTGGGACCACCAACACCAGGAGAGAGAAGAGGGTGGCTTTTCCCTCCCATGTCTTTTGCTAACACAGTTTTTGAGCTTCGTATGGAGAGTAACACAATTAGCAAGGGCCCATTCCTCTTTAGAGATGTTTCTCAGGCCAGTTATGATGAGGAGTACTGCCCTGTGGTAGATCACGGGCAACCTTGTGCACTGGAACATCACGGCAGCTGGCTGATACACCAGGAAGTTGAGCTCTGAGGTAATGTTAACCGTGCTAACCAGAGCACCCCTGGAAATCAGAGTACGGTAAACAGGTAGCTGAACCTTTATGTGCAGGCAGGTCTCTCTGTGCCCACCACCACCTCTGGCCCAGAACAGTACAGAAGGAAGCAAGCGCATGATTCTGGGCTCTTCTGACTCAACAGGACTCCTTCCCTGAAGGTCAGCTGAGATCTTTAAAAATCCAGGCTTGATTCTGTGAGGCCTAAGTGGGGAACCTGATCCACCCACCTGCCTCCTTGACCCTGGTGTTTTTCCTGCACTGTTTCTGCATCATCAGTAAACCCACGTGAACCTAAATGACTGGGTCGCTGTTGCCATTCTAGCCGATCTTCCAAGTCATGAGGGTCTAGGCCAGCTCAGCCTCCTTGATATCATCTTAATGATTCATTATTATAATTAGGCCACAAAATAATAATGACTTACCTTACTGGCCTGAAGGGAAATATAATGACACACACAAACAGCTTCAGAAGTAATACAGCATGAAGAACACACTGAAACAGGGGCCACAGTGTCATAGGGACAGTCACCCGAAGGCCTGACGGCAGCACTTACCAGCACCGTGTGCATCCCGGTGTAGAGTCTGCTGAGACACACCAAGGTGGAAAACACCACAGCCATCAGCAGTCCCAGAGCAAAGGGATACTGTGGGGGGAGAAGGGAAAGCAAGGCCATGAGATCATGCTCGCACAGTTTGATGCTGTGGGAGGAAAGGATTCCCACCCAGTGACTGCTAGTCTCAACCTCAGTTTCCCTAGACCAGCAGTCTCAGGGTCTCAAACCACTTGAAAAGTGGGAAAAAGAGCAAAGAGAAGGGGAAGACGTCCACAGCCACGGCTCTGGGAGGAAGCTTCTCACCATATAAACCTACAAATCAGATACGGTTAGGACTTGGCGTTAGGCCTCATGACCACAGACACGGTGCTGACAGTTTTCCTGAAGTAAATCATTCTTTATTTCAGCCTATTCTTAGCATAACATGCATGAAGGGTACAGTATGGAGCAAGGGGCAAGGTAGAGGGACAGTCCCATCATCCGGAAGTGCAACCGACAGCTTCCCCATTGAGGGCTGGGTGGGTAAAGCTTCCCAAGGGAGCCCAGCCCAGGCTAAGAATGGGCACCTTTCCATACAGATGCTGAGGCAGAAAGCCAGACTCTACTACAACTCAACGTTTGCTGGTGGGTAACAACAGCAGCCAGAGGAATCGGGCTACTGCTGAGTCCTATAGGGATATCCTGCTTATAAATGAAGACACAGAGATGTAACCCATGTGCTTCAAGCTTGAACACCTGTGCTGTCCCATGGTGAAGAGAATAAAGGCGACAGAGAGCTGTCTGCATTACAGGAAGCACTTTAGAGCCCTGCGCTCCTCCCTTCTTCACACAACCCTATGAAGTGGATTCTATTATTAGCTCCAATCCACAACCGAGGAAACCCTTAACCTTGACAGTTACTGTTAAACTTAAGCACAAAGATGCTTTCCCATCCATCATCCCATTTGATCCTCAAAGCAGCAGCTGGCCCCAGAGAGGTCAAATGACCTGCCCAAGGTCACACAGCCCGTAGAGGGGAAGAGTCAGAACCAGAAGCCACCTCTTCTGAATCCAAGCCCAGCACATTCTTTCTGATGCAAGATGAAGAACAATCACACATGGTCGTAGGTCTTCTCCTAACATTTATCGTTAACTGGGTCTCAGAATTTAAGAAAAAGTGTTAAAAATGAATGAGTGAATGCATTCAGAAATTAGAGTTGGGGCATTTGCCTGAACACACAGTCATATAAATAAACCATATTTAGGACTGTTTACAGCAAATAACCCAAAACGCTAAATATATTTATCATTAAAAATTGAATAGGAGAGACGTCCATAACAACTCAGGCTGAAAACTGCTGCATCATATGAGCTGAAAAGAGTTTTTTGGGAAGGACCAGGCGGCCTTGAAATAAGTCTGTAAACGTTGTTGATGCTGCGTTCTTGCAGTCGGCTGCTACTTGGGGCTTTCTTCCTGCATGAGGCCTGTCTGGATGCTGGGAGCAGCCCAAGGGGACCTGCCCTGGGCCCCCTATGTCCTTCTGGGGCAGATACCCTGTATGACATAGCTCAGAAGTCTGCATTAACTGAACTCAGACAGTGCGGAGATCCCGGACATCTCTAATCCTTGCATGACATGCAAGTGAGTTATGACAGAAGATTATACCTAGTTGGGCATATTCCTTAGACTTGTCCCATTCCCATCCAGGAAACAGGTCTGACCCCCCCATCCCCCTGACTAGGTGAGCAGGCATAAGACTACAGAGAGAGAGCCAGGACCCAACCCTAATCTTGTCCTTGTCCCCTAGTTCTGCACCACCTGGAGCACAGAATATCCCTGTGTTTCGAGGGTAAAGGGATGAGGTGAAACACTACTGTCATTTACATACAAGACAGCTAGGTTGAAATCTAAATTGTTCAGAGAGTAAAGGGTAATATGAAATGAAACACACTTGGAGCAAAATTTGTCAGACAAGTGAAACAAAACCTCAGGGCTGTGCGAATGTAACTTTTAAAAGGTCTGACTGTAACTGGCATCTAAGCAGATATTAATTAAGTGAAATTCTTCTATTTGCAACATTTATCAATCTGCTGTCAGAGAGTCCTCTAGAAAACACGGAGCCATTGTTTCTAGTGGTTGAGCCCCAACCAGGGGCAGAGGCATCCTTGGGAGCCAATCTGGGACACAGACTCTTTCCTGCCCCAGGCCCTGGGGAATATAGCAGGAGGATTTATCTGGGGAATCATCTCAGCCCCGGAGGATTATTTACGAGGATCGTCAGCTCCTCACGTCTGCTGCGAACAGAAGAGGAGAGAACAGATCGTGTGCTGTCTAGTTGGGCAGCTCAGAGTGACGATGCAATTCTGGGGAGACTCCATACCTGGTTCCCAGGACTGTCCATGTTGTCACATTGTGGAGGTGTTGTCACTGGGGTATCACTTTCACTATGAGGCACGGCCTCATCTGGACACTAAGCCATATGTCACTTTCTCTATGAAGAAATTGTCACTGATGGCTCAATACATTTCGATCCCCCATAGTCTTCATTTCGTAAGCCTCAAAGTCCCTCAAAAAGGAAAATTCTGAGGCAAAACCTCTTTTTGCTGTCTCGCTGCATGGATGAGGTTACATGGGGGTAGGGCGGGAGAGGAGTCAGGGGGCCTCACCTGGTATCTGTCCATAGTGGAGAGGAGGAGGGTGAAGGAGATGACGGTGGCTGCCATGGCGTGGGTAGACGGCATTCCGTACTCGTCAATCACCCTCTTCTCCAGCTTCACCACCGGAGGGGAGAGGGGGCGGGGCCACTTCAAGATGTCCTTGGCCACCTGGCCGATGTACATCACCAGCTGAAAAACCAAAGGACCGGGGTGAGTCCAACCAAACAAGTGAGACCCTCAGAGTGCGTGAAGAAACCAGGAAGTTTTGCTACAAAATCTGTGGCTGACGGTACCACGGCAATACCCCAAAACCCAGGACAGTTTTCAAATCAGACAGCCTTCATTTTTAAGTTTTAACCAGAAAAGTGACTGTTCTCACAGAGCATCGGCTTTAAAAAGTTGTGAATTCCTGATGCAGGTAGGTAACATACTGGATAAAATTTAATTTCTTTCAGTCATCAGAGGCATCAGTAAAATACACGGCATGAGTATTTTCAACCCTACAATACAGAAAACTCACGCTACAGTTTTTTTCAAATGATTTTTCATGATGGCATGAACGAAAAGACTGCCCCCCTTTCTTTTTCTTAAAGCACAAGATAGAAATCAGAATTTAGCTTCTCTGCCCTTCAGAGAGGAACAGGAGTATAACCATAGACTCATTTTGTCAGGGAACTTTACAGGATGATTTCAGGATCAGTGATAAGGAGGGAAGAGCACTCATTTCCTCACATCTGCCTTTGCAGCTCCAAGTGTGGTCTGAGGACCAGCAGTGTGTGCGCCACCTGGGTGCTGGTTTCAAAGGCAGAATCTCAGTCCCCAGCCTCCTGGACAGACTGAGTTAGAACCCCTGGTCACAAGACTCCCAGATGGTTCATGGGTGTATGAGAATTTGAGGAGCCCTGTTTGACCCTGCGTCCTTGCCCAGGCCCCTTTGTCATGGACTTTAATCATAAACCTTCCCATCATCTTTCCGCGACCCTATTGATTTTACGAGGGCTTTATTTAGCTCATGATGGATGGAGTTACCTCGCTTTGGAACAAAACCCACGATGAAGGACTATTTCAAAATAACTTTAATTAGTCAGCCAGAGTGCTTTGGGGTTTCCACATTCTGGTCCTTTCTTTTAACTCATTCAATTCGGAGCATTAGTCCAGCATACACACAACCCCCAGAAGGCACTACTGCTGTTTTGTGCTCTGCTGTCATTTTGCTCAGGTTAAGAAACCAAGAGCCACCGTCTGTGCACAGCAGGCCTGATCCACAGGCTTTAAAGCCTCAGTGACAATCAGTGAATTCCATAGCTGTGATTTCTAATCGGACTTTGAAATCCAACCTCTTTACCATCCCCTTATTACCAGGAACTACTGTCCTGGAAACCAACTCACTCTTTTATGTTTCCGCCTCCCTCCTGTGAACCTGTAAAAACCACATCAGACTGACAATGATGTGTGGAGTTGAAAAACTCGCAGCTATCACTGACGACCAGGAATGTCTCAGAAGCTGCTTGAGATGGATTTCTCAACACTGCCCCTTCCCTACTCACCGGCTGAAATAAAACACTGCAGGCATCATAACTCTGGTTTGCTCAAAAATTCTTAAAATCCTCAGACAGGGACCCTTAGAATCATTAGGTGAAGACAGCCAGGGAGGTCTTCAGACACAGTTTTAAATTTCCTTGACATTCACAAATCCCTCTGACTTCACTTCTATTTCGCCTTCTGTGTTTGAAGGATGCTTTTAAGAATTAGGACAACTGTTCATTTCCTTTCAACAATATTACCACAGCATCACATTGTATCTGATCAATAAATTTCAAGTAACAATTACCGTAATGACAGCTCTCTTTAAACAGAAAATAGGGCTATATTTTTCAAGTCATAGGAAAGGAGGACCACTCATGGCTTGAGAAGTACTGTCTCTGTCTTTGTATTCACTAGAGTAAAGTGATGATGTGCCCAGCCCTGTGTTAAGTTCCCATCTTGAGGGGAAGAAACCATCGCATAAGCAGAAGACCTCATCATAATGCAAATATGCTTTGAAAAAAATTATCTAACAAATTCTCTGGATATGTATATCTGCAGAAGCAGAATGAAGAAACCAAAACAAAAACAAAGAAAAAAGAAGCATATACTATATAATTCTGTTTTTATAAAATTCTTGAAAGTGGTTTAACCTTATGGCACAGAAAACAGACCTATGGTTGCCAGGAAAGGAGGAAAGAAATCACAAACGGGCATGAGGATACTTTTAGGATGATGGATATATTTTTTAATAATTGTGATGATTCCAGGGGTATGTCAAATATTCCGACTCAGACATTTTAAAATGTGTCATGTTTGTGAACACACTAAGAATTATGGAATTGGACATTTTCATGTTCTTTTGTTCATGTTTTTTTTTTAAAGACTTTCATTTGTTTATTTGAGAGAGAGAGCACAGAGGGAGAGTGAGAAGGAGAAGCAGGCTCTCTGCTGAACAGGGAGTCTGACGTGGGGCTCGATCCCAGGACCCCGGGATCCTGACGTGAGCCGAAGGCAGACGTTTATAACTGACTGAGCCACCCAGGCACCCCAGAATTGGACAATTTTCAATGGGTGAACTGTATGGTGTGTGCATTATAGCTTGATAAAGCTGTTGAAGACATGCAATTTACTGTATGTCAATCACGTCTTAAAATGTGGCTGTCTTAGCTTGGGTTGCCATAACAACCAAACATAGACTGGTGGCTTATAAATAATGGAAATTTAGTTCTTACATTCTGGAGGAGAGAAAAGTCCAAGATCAAGACACCAGCAAGTATGGGGTCTGGTGGAGCCTGCTTCCTGGCTCACAGCCAGGCATCTTCTCGCTGGGTACTCATGTGGCAGAAGGAGTGAGGGAGCTCTCTGGAGTTCCTTTTAAAAGGGCACTAACCCTATTTGTAAGGGCTACACCCTCATGACCAAAACACCTCCCAAAGGCCCCACCTCCTAATACCATCCCATTGAGCACTGGGTTTCAACATGTCAACATTTCGAAAGTTTTCTCAAGAATGAAGAGGTGTTTGTGGGGTGGGCCTGGCTGTGAGACACTGTCTGGAAGGCCATCTGGAGCTTCGGTCCACTTGGAGGTTTGGGGAAGAGGTGTAGGCAGACCTAATCTGTCCTCTGGGGCCATGGACAGAGTGGGGGCAAAGACATCAAGACTAGATGGAAGGAGACCAGGTAAGAGCATATTGCAAAATCCAGGTGAGAGATGAAGGTGGGTTCAAGGTCAGCAAAAGTGGGGCAGCAGACAGATTAAAAGAAATTTTTGTTTTAAACTGGAAGAATGGGGACGCCTGGGTGGCTCAGTTGGTTGGACGACTGCCTTCGGCTCAGGTCATGATCCCGGAGTCCCGGGATCGAGTCCCGCATCGGACTCCCAGCTCCATGGGGAGTCTGCTTCTCCCTCTGACCTTCTCCTCGCTCATGCTCTCTCTCACTGCCTCTCTCTCAAATAAATAAATAAAATCTTTAAAAAAAAAATAAATAAACTGGAAGAATGTTGAATAGGTTTATAAGTCTTGGAAGAATGGCAAGTAGAAATTATTTAAATAAGAGGGAGGGGAAAAATCCTCAGAAATCAATGGACTAGGAGCCCAAAGGTGATCGTGTATGTGGAAGTCTTTAAGTTCAGAACAGCTAAACCACTGGTCCCCACAAGGAACATATGGTTTCCCTGGAGACACTCTCGGTTAGCTCGAAGATGGTGGGCACCGCCAGCATGAAGAGAGAAGTTCGGGTCGCAGTGTGCCATTCAATGCACAAGATGGTACCATTCTAGAACATCATTTTTTGTTTCTAACGTGACTCTTGAGGACTCCACCATTCCTGTAGGTGAACACCTATCTGTAATCCTCTGAATGGAGGGCCTAAGTCTCTGTTACAAGTCAACACCAAATGTTTTCTTGCAAGGTTTGAACATGCACTGAAGGTTCTGAGAACATAAAAACCAAGTAAATGGAAGAAAGACTGAAGCTCGATTTATTTGGAACTGTATCTAGAATTGCTCACCATTTGGAGGAATCGGGTCACCACTGGAAATGCTATTTGTTACGTTTGAGACTCTAATGCCACATGCCTGTGTCCACGCCACCATAGCTGACACGCAGGGACCCTGTTTATAGGTTCAAGGATCCTACTACCCTATGTGGACAGACCTAGAATTTGCTTATTTTAAAAGCCACCTTCTTATGACAAGGCAGATTTTTAGGAATTATGCAAGTAAGTCATATTTTCTATGAATCTCACTGAAGGAAAGCAACTACAATACATTTAGGGTATAAAAGGAGGTAATGCTATGCTCAGTTTAGGAAGACAGACACAAAAGACTACATACAAATGATTCCATTTATATCCAGAAATATCCAGAATAGGCAGATCCAGTGAGACAGAAGAGAGATTAGTGGTTGGCTAGACCTTGGAGACCAGATGTCTGTAATCAAGGTGTCAGCAGGGCCACACTCCCCGGGGTTCTAGGGTAGAGTCCTTTCTTTGTCTCTTCCAGTTTCTGGTGGCCACACCCCCTGTGATCACATTGCCTCTTCCTCTTCCTTCTGTCTACTGCTCTTCCGTCCATCTCAGCTCTCCCTCTGCCTTTTTCTCATAAGGGCACTTACCATTGGATTGAAGGCCACTCACATATCCAAGATAATCTCCTCATCTCAAGATCCTTACCTGAATTACCTCTCCCATTACTCTTTTTCTAAAAAAGATAGCATTCACAGGTCCCATATGCTAGAATGCAAACGTATCTTTTTGAAGACTACCATTTAATCCACTATATTCAGCAAATAGTGTATGAGTGACCAGGCACTGTGCTGGACTGGGGATCACCATGAAGAACAAGATAGACCAGATCTTTGTTCTCAGGGAGTCTATGAGTCAAAACATGAACAGGAAGTATGCTTAGCTTCCTTGCATTTCATTTACTTCAATAAAACAACATTGTCCTGCTTAAAAAAAAAAAAAAAAGAAAGAAAGAAAGGAAAAGAAAGAAAGAGAAAAAAGAAAAAAACTCTGCTGGGTCTGACAGAATCAAAAAGTCCAATATATTAAAAACATTACCGCAGATATAAGCATCACGTCATTAGGGAATTACAAAATAAATCAATGAAATATCATTACACACCTACCAGTACAGCCCAAATCTAAAACACTGACAA